TGTTTTTTTTTTTTTTTTTTTATTTTTTTTTTTTAATTTTTAATACTATTTTAAATATCAAAAGAAGTGGAAATGGTAAAAAGTCACAAAAATCATGCAAATTGGTCATTACAAATTACCTTACTTTAAATAATGAACATTAATTCCCCATGTCAAAGCAATTTTCCTCATTTTAATGTCAATTATGACAGCATATTACCACCTAGACAGCATATTGTGTAACAGACATATGGACACCCAACCTGAGAGCAGGAAGTCAATAATTATTTGTACTTTTATCAAACAGAACCACTTCTTATCTTGTGTGGTATATAGACTGATAATTTCCTTTTTTTTATAAGTAATCAATAAGAATCATTAAACAATAAAAAAATATACACTGAATAAAATGAGTTTAAATACATCTTTCTAGTAGGCTGACCAAAGTCCAACCCCATTCCATACCTTCAAATACGTATCCAGCCTCTTCACTGTGAGAGTCATCGTCTGCTGAAGTTTGTCGTCAGAACGGCTAACATTGGACTGCTGCTGTTGTAAAACTTGTTGCTGAAATAAAACATCCCAAAATGAGTACAAACTTTGGTCTAAGGCTTTAAACATATTTTTACACAAAGCTCTCAATGCGAAGGCCAAAGGCAATTGTATCTTTTTTTCAAAGACAATGAGGGATGTGTTCAACTATGAAATGAATTAACTTAATAAGTAATTGTCAGAGAGGCAGAGGTCAATAGTTGAATTTTTTCTTTTGAAATCGTGTAACACCATTCACTTATAAGCATCAGTTGAATGGTGAACACCAGTATGAATTTTCTTCTCACACTACACATATTTTTCCAAGAATATCAGACAGAGAGAAAAATATAAAGAATATCTTTTTTACCAGGGCTGCTGTTATATGTCAGTACCTACCCTTTCCTTGGAATACTTCTCTCTGACTGACTGGAACCAGTGAAGAGAGTCAAACTCATGGTACTGGTCTAACAACTTCAGAATATAGGCAACACCTACAACGTAACAGAATACATAGAGCTAATAAGTGCATGATTGCGTATGGGTGACACAATCTCTGACACAGAGAACTTTTGGCAAATTTCATTTATGCATGTGATGAAGCTGCCTTTTCATAACTTGTATTTGAAGATAGCATAATATGTGTGATAGGCTCTAAATCAGGCTGTAGTTGTTATTTATTTCTAGTTATTTCAAACAATTAAGAATTGGATCTGAGCAGAAAATCTTTCTCACCCATGGCAAAGCCATCATCAGTGAAAGCGGCGCCAACTTTGTTCTTCTTGGTCATTTTTTCTTTGCTGCTGATGCTGTGTTCTACAAAATTCAGGGTCTGGAAGAAACAGTTATAAAATTAGTAAAACTAAAAAAGATTTGTACATGTCATAAAACTAACTTTGGTAGTTTTTGGACCCTGTACAAGACTGTCTTTTATTTTAGCATTCTGTACATAACTTGATAGAATTGCCTTCAATTACTCCTTACTCAACCTTTTACCTGCATGCATGAATTTAAATATAAGAAGTAAATAAATAAAAAATCTTTATTTTTTCATTTACTCCTTCTGAAATAAAAAAAATACAATATTAAGCTCCACCACTTTGGTATGATCAATGTGTAAAGATATCTTCTCACTCACCAAGGGTGGAAGGATAACAAACAAGTTCTTAAGATGCATGTTCTTGGGATCTCGTAATTCTGGGGCAAACACATCCACCAGAAGCTGAAAATTGGGAAAATAATTTTGATTCTTTTTGTTGCAATAATATAACAAGTTTCAGTACAAAAAGATAACAAAATTTTACTATATAGGATCAGCAGTAATAGACAGCTTACATTTGCAAAAGAGGTAAATGTTTGATAAATCCCTGACTTCTGCCAAACTTTCATTGATTTATTTTATAAACTACAGAACACTCCCAGAATCTTAGCTGTCAGTACTAACCTTAAAGTATTCTGTTCCTTCTGCAAAATTCTTGGCCATATTTCCAATGACATTGTCCAAATTCCTGAAATCAAACAGTACTTAATTTATAAATAGTTATTAAAACAACATCAATCATTTTCTGATACTCACAAACAGAACATTTTTTCAACTGACTTAAACAAAAATTACAAATGTATATCAATTACTGAAACAGTCAGACATACCATGTGCTGCCCCCTACAGTCCAGTTTAACCTACCCTGCTGCCCTCTGGCATTCTGCAGACAGACCCTCCTCTTTGCAAAGCTCCTCAAAGTTTACAATGTCCTCTAAATCTGGCACAAAGCGGATTGCGTTGCTGCAGCAATGGAGTCCACCAGAACGGATCATACGGATGTAACCCATCGCATTACCTGTGGGAGCAGAAATGACAGTAACAGCACATAGGAAAATACTATTTCATGTACCAGTATTAATTTGTACTTATACACCACTGACAAGCATTATCTTTAGTTTCCTCAATCTGGCATCAACCTACCTATCTGTCCCACTAGTAGCCTAAACTGGTCCAGGTAAGTGTTGCCCTCTGGTGTCAGACCAAGTTTGCGGATACCTTTGTTGAACTTCTCTGCTCTGTCAAATGGATACTAGAAAATAGGAAATAATTTGTCTTCAAATACAGTGACTGTCATATGTCCTCCCAAGATGTGCCAAATTTATAAAACTGAAGTATGTTAAATAAGTAAATGTACTGTAAATAAGTCTCAAAGAATGTTAACAAACTCATTTTTTATTCAAATGTTACAATCATTATATTTACTACATGTATAATCTTGTTACAAGAAAAACATATTGAACAGCTTATTTATTATATTAATTTGAAATCCTTCTTCGATGACAAATATTTGTATGATGTTGAATTCAATATCTTGATGTACATGTACTATATCTTGTCAATGGAAGAGAAGTAAACTCACCTTTTGATCTGTTTGCAGGTGATTTTCTCTGAAGAACTTCCAGTCTTTGATCAGCCTGGATTTGATGTGTTCATCATACATAAACTGGGAGAAGATGAAAAACTTCTTCCTGAGAAACTGATATGTAAAGTTCACCTGAAACAGAAAATGTTAACACAATGATTTCTTTGAAAAGGTGAAAGGAGAGAACATCCTGCTAACTTTTCAAAATACTTACTTTTTTTAAAGACACATTACCAAAGAGGGAATTCAATATAAACAATAAAAAGTCCTGGGGAAAAATCAATATCATTAAACATATAACAAATAATCAACATTGTTTTTTGAGAAATAAAACTTATGATATCCATTGCTATCTACTGGTACAGCATCTTTTCCCTCTATTTAGCTTGTTTGATTTAATGTTTCATTATCTATGCTTACAGTGGTGTTCATGATGCCAGTGCCGTGGGTACAATATTTTATTATCTATGCTTACAGTGGTGTTCATAATGCCAGTGCCGTGGGTACGAATGGAGTTGGCAATATGGCGGATATTGATGGTGTTCAGGTGTTTATTATTGCTGGACCTCTCTACGAAAATCTGAAGAAAAAAAATAGGATAAAATCATCAAATTCTTTTTCTCTTTGTTAGATCACCAAATTAAAACTCTCTATTAGAAAGGTACACATTTAATTTCATTCCTAGAATTGTGAAAGTTTTCAGAGTTACTCAGACTTGAGCCTAGGTTTGAAAAAATAAACTCTGAACATGGGACCCAACCCAGATTTTATTGCAGATCTTGACAAATCTCAGGAAACATCAAAATTGAATTTAAAAAAATGCTGCAATCTGAGTTTCCATGAAAAAAACTCGTGTCTGGGTACTCTCAGTGACTTTCACAGTTCTGCCAAGTCAGGTCAATTACCTCACAGTTTCTGGAGAACATTTAACATTTAACAAACTGCAACAAAATCATGTCATCAGGCAAACTTGCCTGTCTGACCTTCACCACTTCCATGATGACACTACCATAGCATGACAGGGCTTATACAACTTCTAAATTATGACATTAAAACTTGACTTTTAAGGTAATGACCTTAAAGCAATGACCTTTTAATTCATGATTTCATGAGCTGTGGTTTCACAAAAAGCCAACAAAACTTGAATTCAATAAGCATGACCTTTAAAAGTAACCGACTTTATAGATAGTTCAAATTCTAACCAAACAAATTTTTCTTTACACAAGTCAAAAAATAAATAAATAAATAAATAAATAAATAAATAAATAAATAAATAAATAAATAAATAAATAAATAAATAAATAGAAATAAACAGATAAATAAATATAAATAAAAATAACATAAAAGTGAATCAAATGTCACTCCCACAACCCAATCCTGCCTTACCTGGTTGTTTAAGTTGTAGAGAAATTTGGAGACAAAAACATGGATGTTCCTCATAATTTCCAGGACATCCAAGCCCTGAAATTGGAAACACCAAAAACAATAGACGTGTGCCAGATTAAGTTTATTACAGAAGATTTACAATGTGTTCTTAGCATACACAAAGGCATGAGATCCTATTAGTTAGAATATGTGAAAGTAGCTGAAAACGTTTCACATGTCTCAAGTCTTAACGTATTTAAAGACAGCCCAAAACATTGGCCAAAATCAGCAAAACAGGACTGTCACTCAAGTTCAAATGAAAACAGAAAACTGGACACAGAAATGTTATTAACTCCATCAGCTGTTCTTTGTCAGACAGGTAACATTCCCCCTCCTACCTGTTCCAGAGTTTGACTTGGCAGGTGATATTATATTCCCCCTCCTACCTGTTCCAGAGTTTGACTAGGCAGGTGTGGCTCCACCATCCTCAGCTTGTATTTCTGTGTGGCCAGGTTCTTCATCTCGCCGTATGTCTTCCAGTCATGGAGGGCCACTGTGGTCAGGTTGTAGAAGGTGCGGTCTAGGTAGTGTTCAACATGGGCTGGGGGGGAGGGGGAAGAAATAAGAAAATATTATAGCAAAAATTCATATTATCAAGGCTAAAGATATGAAATATGTTATATAATAAGGGTTAGGTTAAGCACTAGATTTTTTTCAAAGGTGAAAATTGTAAATTCTAAATATACTGTACACCATTTGCCAAAGTCATAGACTCTTTAAATTATTACATTCTAATAAATTTGTGGTGGTAACAACATTGAAAAGCAGGCTACCTTTAAGTTATAGTCTACACAGTATAAGCATGATATATGCTGTATAGAAATATGATTCCAAAACTAAGAATTTGAAGTATTGATAATTTTTGCCAATTAAAAAGATTGCGAAGTTAGCATTTATATGAAATGAATTTGAAAATTCGAAGCAAAGTATTCATTTTTGAGCCATTTTGAAGACCAGAAACACTGGGAGCCTCATACTTTCTTCATCGCCTTCTCTCTCGTACCTTTCACATTTATCATCTTGTCAAACAATCTGATTGGTCGAAGTTGTAAAAATGGCGTCAGGTCTTTCATGCCGACCTTGAATGGATTGCGGTCGTCCAGCTGAAGATGGGAGTGGATGTGGAGGCGGAGGTCTGTCTCTATCTCAGTACACAGGGGACCCAGGAGGTGCTGAAATCATTGTGAAGGACCCATAAATGTTGATAATATATTAACAATTTCATTCCTAACTGTACTATCTTATTCTCTATGTGTCTATCTCAGTACAGAGTATTTATCAGTATTGCACTCAAGGTAAAATTTTTTTATATTTTCTATCTACAGCATCTAAATTCAGTGAGAAGTGCTTCACAAATCATTAACCATAACATGAAAATGATCATATATTTTTAAATACCTACGATTTAAATATACAGGCAGATGCACTGACCCAGTAAGACCAAAAACATTATTAACAACATCATTTGTCACACTACTCACATCTTTGAGCTCCCTGTGGACCTCCTTATCAAACTCGTCCAGCAATACCTGTGCACTGGTCAGGTGTCTGGCCTGCTTCATCAGGGGGACACTGTCACTTAACGCACCCATCATGTACTGAGATATGGAAACAAAATTAAAATAAAGCCTTAAAAAGAGACAAAAAAAGATTTTTTCCCGTTTTCCACTTTATGCTCTTTCTTCACACTTTGAATAATTCTAAGTATCTCTGAAAGGTATCTTTGAAAGGTTTTTAATTTGGAACAGAGGACTTTTTTCAGTGGCAATTTATTTCAGTAAGACTTAAAAAATACATGGATCCAGTTTCACTAAGATATCTAACAGTTAATGTGGCAATCTGACCTCACTTGCACTTTCAACAACATCAACTTGATGCTTTCAGACAAAGTGACATGGTTTCCACGGGTTTTCAGTGACTTACGGTATCTCACTACAGTATACTTACATGTAGTCTGTGGGCCTCAGTGGGATTCTCAAACAAGTCATCCAGATATATAGGGAAGACTACCCTTCTTACTACAGTATACTTACATGTAGTCTGTGGGCCTCAGTGGGATTCTCAAACAGGTCATCCAGATATATAGGGAAGACCACCCTGTGCCAATAGAAAAAACTGCAGTCACAGGCCTGGTGGACTCTGAAATACACAGATTTCTATATGTAGAATACAATCTTTGTCAACCTTTTATAATAAAAGTCTTGTACTTGTCGCTGAAAAGCCATTAACAAAGTTTTGCTGATCTGGAAGTTAACAAAAATCCAGCCAATAACACAATTTTTCATTATATTTGTAATGTGTGCATGTATTCCATTCATACAAAGATATAAATACATATATTGTAGCAGACAAAATGTGGCACCCATGCACTTGGATTGCATTTATACTCTGCCTCGTGTCCTGTCGGAGGTAATACAATCAACCTTCCCATTTGACAAACAACATATTAAAAGTAACATGGAATTGGCACTTCATGAAGTGATCTTTACAGAAACGCTATTAACAGAGTGGACACTGCTATGAGTACAAGTAGAGAACATCAGAGACAGGTGTCATATGGAGACAGCATTAAGAGCATTAAGAGTATATACATTGTTATGACTACAAGTCGGGACAGAGGTAAATGTCTTTCACGACCCCACTCACTTCTCTCTCAGGTCACATATGGCGTCCAGTTTCTTCAGCGTGGAATACAGACTGGCCAGCTCATCATCACGGAAACTTTTCTGAAAATAAGACGTTCACATAATACTATTCAAAGAGATAAATGATATATAACAGATTATCTACTGTCATAAGTCAGCTTGCTATATGCGTGAGGCAAGGCATGAGTTAATTACAGAAATATTTTCCAAGACATATTTCACATACACACATAATTGTCTGAATTACCAATATTATAACATTTATCCATCATTTAGATATCACTATAAGTATTATAATAAATATCATCATATATAATATCATTATAACTCCTGGTAACATACCATCCTTGCTCCCACAGCCAGAGCTAGGTAAGTGATCAATCTTCTCTCCTTTGTGCCAGGTCCATTGAGAGCATTCTCCCCCAACACCAGAGCAGACAGAATGTCCAGCTTGGACTCACTGTATTTACGGTCTGATATCATCTTTTTCTGAAAACACAGAGATATCAAACTGAATCAGGTACTTCCTGTTAGTTTAAACTTTAATACTTATCAAAACAAGTCCAGATATTTATCAAATAATTCAAACCATTCTACTACAAAGCTGAAACAATTTCAAAAATAAATCAGATACTTCCTCAGTTACACATTTATATTAAACTCATCAAAATAAATTAAAGAAATACCTACACAAAAATATTTAATTTGGATGCTTATTGTATGTTTAAACAATGTTATTACAAAAGTGGAACACATATAACATAAACAATAATTCAGAAAGAATAATAAAACAATAACCAGCAATATCAAACAGTCCCATTCCAAATGAATGTAAGACGCGACCCCTAAAAATAATATTATTAATCAGGGATGAGACCAGTCCTCACCGAAAAGGTAGGATTTACACGATTCACCTGATTTACATGATTCACAAGAATGACCAAAATGACCCTGAAAAAGTCAGAATTCTGACAAAAGTCGGAAAGTCTCATCTGCGATTGATACTAACCTTGGCCACAGCTATGAGGTTGAGAGCCTGGAAGGTGAGATGTTGTATCACATGGTTCATGGACTCAGCTACCAGCATACTCTTCCTGTGAAACGTGTGCTCTATGGCCTACAGGGAAATAGAAAACGGCAAGATGGTGATTTTCACTTACACACTTATATGCTTTTCAAAGGGAGGGGGGAACAAATGAGAATACTGTATACATATTGCAATAACTGCTGCATCTTTTTCATATTATTCTGCCTCACACAGCACTTGTCTTACCCGGTATAAAACATTTTACTTCTATCAGATCACAGTCAATAAAAACCCCTCTAAACATTAACTTCCACCTACTGGTAGCATTGATGCAGTGTAGTTGTTACTGTTGCTTTTGTTGCTGTTGCTGTTGCTGTTACTGTTACTGTCAGTGCTGCTGCCAGCGTATTTCTTCCTTACCTTGAGCAGCTCTACCAGTCTACACAGACTGAGTACCGAGGTCTTGGTCATAGGTTTACTAAGGGCCACATGAAGGTTCATCACCGTCCTCACCAGGTGGCTGATATTGTGGGCGTATAACACTCCCTGGAAATAACACTGACATCTACACAAAGGGAAGGGTATTTATCATATTATGAAGTTATACAGGGAGAAAAATTTTAAGGAATTTTTAGTTATATGCCAAACTCAGGCATGCTCTTCTGATACATTAATACACCACACCTAGAGATGTTACGTGACCGTGGCAAAATAAGCTTTATTCAGTTTTAGGGTGTTTTTTTGGTGAAATGCCAGCAATTTCTCTTGGTATGTATGTCAAATAATACATTGGCATCCTCTCTCGAGACCTTGAAAACCTCTCTGACACTCAAGTTGTTCTGATACATAACATTCAGTTGACAGTGCATTATCTCATTCAAACAGCAGGGGTGGATGGAAGCCATCTTCCGGGTCTTCTGGAAGACGGTCTGAATTCTTCGAGTTTACATTGACGGGCATCAAATTTTTTCCTTTGGAAGAACAATCAAGAATGGAGCACAGATCAACAAAGATGATTTGGAAGAATGTCTGTCAGAAAATATCTCTGGATCTGTCCCTGAACAGTCCTTGCCTACCTGAATGAAGAGACTACTCCTCTGGTTGAGGTCCTCCATTAAAGAGCTGGCTTTCTCCAGGTAAGACTCCATCTGTACCATCCATGCACTGACCTGGACATCAAATGCATGCACATCTCTGAAAGAACACAAATTATCATATATAATATCATAAATATATTAATTCAAAGACTCCATCTGTACCATCCAGGCACTGACCTGGACATCAAATGCATGCACATCTCTGAAAGAACACAAATTATCATATATAATATCATAAATATATTAATTCAAAGACTCCATCTGTACCATCCATGCACTGACCTGGACATCAAATGCATGCACATCTCTGAAAGAACACAAATTATCATATATAATATCATAAATATATTAATTCAAAGACTCCATCTGTACCATCCAGGCACTGACCTGGACATCAAATGCATGCACATCTCTGAAAGAACACAAATTATCATATATAATATCATAAATATATTAATTCAAAGACTCCATCTGTACCATCCAGGCACTGACCTGGACATCAAATGCATGCACATCTCTGAAAGAACACAAATTATCATATATAATATCATAAATATATTAATTCAAAGACTCCATCTGTACCATCCAGGCACTGACCTGGACATCAAATGCATGCACATCTCTGAAAGAACACAAATTATCATATATAATATCATAAATATATTAATTCAAAGACTCCATCTGTACCATCCAGGCACTGACCTGGACATCAAATGCATGCACATCTCTGAAAGAACACAAATTATCATATATAATATCATAAATATATTAATTCAAAGACTCCATCTGTACCATCCATGCACTGACCTGGACATCAAATGCATGCACGTCTCTGAAAGAACACAAATTATCATATATAATATCATAAATATATTAATATAAAGACTACATCTGTACCATCCAGGCACTGACCTGGACATCAAACGCATGCACATCTCTGGAAGAACACAAATTATCATATATATTTCTCTAAAGGAACACAGAATATCAGAAATATTTCTTTAAAGGAAAACAAAATATGTTTGTTTACATAGTTTGTTGTTAATTTGGTTCAAAAATCAAGGCTATGTATTTTTTTGTTAATATGACACAGTATTTTTGGGTTGAAAGATGTCAGTCAGTGCCAAGGTTTCAGAAAAAAACAAACATTTGATGGACAAGACTGAACAAAGAACATTAAGATGAGAAAATGCAGATTACTTCAGATAGATAATTAATTCTTCACATTTTTAAACTATGAAATGCTTAAATCAATAAGTTAAATCAAAAACTAATTTAAATTTATTTCAGCCAAGAATATCAAAGTACCAGTTGGAGCTTAGTGTTGTTTATTTACCTCTGTAAGTTCTGTGACTTCTGCTGTAGCCATGTCTATGTATGGATACTGTCTGTTGTGTATACTTACCTCTGTAAGTTCTGTGACTTCTGCTGTAGCCAGGCCTGTCTATGTGACGGTACTGCTTGCTGTACCTTCCTATCCAGAGCTCTGGCCATGTGGGGTAATTTCTGGGTCAGGAAATCATTGGAATACCACACAACATTACCTACCAGAGACACTGCAGGGACCTTAAGAAAGATTCGAAATAAGATTTAAAATTCATACCATGGCAATATGGGGAAATTTATGTATGAATTTTAAAATTGCTATATCTTTTCATGTAGCAAACCAAAGAAATCTACTCAAAATGAATAATATAGCTTTCAGTGGATAACAATGATATAATTTACCCCCAAACAAAATCAATATTATTTCCTAGAAAATGATTTTATTCTTCTAAATCAATACAAACATAGACAAATACTGATAGCCATGAATGACAAACCTTTTTATAGACATCCCACATTTGCTTGAAGACTTTCTTATCAATGACCCTGAAGATCTGGAAGTGGAGAACATAGAGCCCACAGACACCCACAAACTTCAGTCTCTGGTCAGTCTCTGACGTCTCACCTGGAAGAAGAAGGATGAATGAAACATTTGGAGTAAAAACTACAGTGAATTCACAATTTTGGAATTGAGTAAGTTCTCATATTCAGGGACAACTTAGTACATTACCTAGGCCAGGTACTGATTGATTTAGGCAGGTTGTGATGGGTAAACCTAGCATATAAGGTTCCACTTGGTTCAGGTAGGTTCTGACATTGACAGCAAACCTAGCATATTACCTAGTCTAGGTTCCACTTGGTTCAGGTAGGTTCTGACATTGACAGTAAACCTAGCATATTACCTAGTCTAGGTTCCACTTGGTTCAGGTAGGTTCTGACATTGAGGGCAAACTCCTCAGCAAACATGCCATTCTTGGACACCTGCACAGTTCTGTCATCAAACTGCTGCTCCACACAATTCTGAAACCAGTCAGTTATGTGGCTTATTACACTGTTCAAAACTGCACGCTTGGGGGCTAGTTGTACTTACAACTGTGTAATATAACCTTAGCAGGGAGTAAAATTAGAGGCAGTATATGAATATTGTAATGAGATTGGACAGGTTTTCATTATTCTCTGACCAATATAAAAGAAACAAGTATCATAAAGAAGAAGGCATTAAAGCTGATTGGTTCTTTGCTATGTTCCCGAATTTCACAAATTTTGATTGTAATCATCTAGCTACATCAAAAGTGTGTTTGAAATTAGAGAGATTTATGATGATAATCTCTATGCAAAAAAATATTTTATGGAGATACATTTTTCACTTTCTTTACCTGGAAAATCATCCCATCTAACAGTTGTCCTTCCAGCCTCATCAGCAGCTTCTCAAAAGGCCGCAGCTTGTCATCTGTGAACCCAAACTTGGTAGGGTTATGGTGGACTGACTTCAACATCCTTCATATAAATATATACAAGTATTACAATAGAAATAAACTTGGTAGGGTTATGGTGGACTGACTTCAACATCCTTCATATTAATATATACATATATTACAACAGAAATAGCATGAATAAAAACCGTCTAACCGTCTGACCATATCAACAAGCATAGTCAGACACAGGATGGTAACACTCTTTCTAGAACATATCAGCTTTTACTTCGAAAAGTGAAAACATTTTACTCAATGATTACTACTTTATTTCTTTTTATGAGCAATGCTAAATCATGGTTGAAAAGATAAAAGTTGATATTACATCTCAATATAACTGGCTGTACAGACTTCAATATAAACTGAGCCAGTATGAGATACCTTTTGTACAATGTCCAGTGTTCTTTCAGTGTCTCGTGGCTCTCCACTATCTCATCCAGAGTAACGAGGACAGACAGGAGGTCCCCAAGGTGTTCATACACAATCTGGAGGATAGAACAGATTCTGGAGGTCATCATAGGGTCATCTGAAGGTCATAGGGTCATCTGAAGGTCATCAGAACAGCGGACTAACAGATCCGTGGATCAAATATGGCGAGTCACTACAAAGTTTGCCACTTAATTCCCGAAAAGACTCTGTATAAATTCCCTGCAGGGATTACGCAACAAGCATTCAAGTGGGTCAGCCATATTTGATAAGTGGATTTGTTAGTGCGCTGTTATGAATGCCCTCATAAATAATGTATATTTAGGACATGTTAGTCTGTGCATTTATTTCTAATGTAAATCCAAAGAAAAGAGGTAAGAGGATGGCAAAATAGATCAAAGCACTAAGAAACTGTCCTTGAGACATTTTTTATTAACATTTAAAATGTTCAAATAAACAAGAGTAGAGTGGTAGCTACACCCCATAGGTCAATATATTAAGACCATCATCTAACTGATATGAACCGTCACCACTCACCTGTAAGTGATATGAACCGTCACCACTCACCTGTAGGTGTATCACCACTCACCTGTAGGTGATATGAACCGTCACCACTTACCTGTAACTGATATGAACCGTCACCACTCACCTGTAGGTGATATGAACTGTCACCACTCACCTGTAGGTGATATGAACTGTCACCACTCACCTGTAACTGATATGAACTGTCACCACTCACCTGTAGGTGATATGAACTGTCACCACTCACCTGTAGGTGTACCTCTGTGACATCAATATATTAAGACCATCATCTAACTGATATGAACTGTCACCACTCACCTGTAGGTGTACCTCTGTGACATCAATATATTAAGACCATCATCTAACTGATATGAACTGTCACCACTCACCTGTAGGTGTA